CACCAGACTCATGCAACCTGCTACAGGCCCAATTTTGTGTGTCTGTGTGTCTTTTTTTCCTTTTTTCAATTTCCTTTTTATGGTTTTGATTTTTTTTAAAATACACGAAGTTCCAAAAAAATAAAATAAAAACTAAATTGTTGTACATCTTTGAAAGATCTACAACCCTATATTTTTTATTTAGTTTTTTTGTTTTCGTTTTAGCCCTTAAAAAATCTGTGTGAAACCCAAAACAAAAACACTCATTTCATTTTCGTTTTTGTTTTTTCATTGTGTGTTTATGTTTTTGATTTTTTTAAAAATAGATTTAAGCATCAAAAAATACAAATAAAAATACAGGGTTGTAGTCCTCAACAAATATATATATATATATATATATATATATATATATATATATTTTGGATAAGTTTTAGCCCACGAAAAAAATCATCCCGGACCCCGTTAATTCCCGTTCAACTCGCGTTTGAACGGGAGTTTAACGCGAATTCAACGCGCGTTGAATTTTTCAACGCGAAACCCGCGTTAAATCCAATTTCGGACACACAGATGAAGGGATGTCAGCTCGTGTCAGAGTCTTCCACAACTTGTCTGTCATTCCAAGCCTCCCGTTGGGGAATCGGAACAGCCTCATGCAAGTGGACACTTTGCTTATGGGAAAGTTAACACATGTGTGTTGGCCTCATGTACATGGTCCATGAACCGTCCACATGCACAACATACCAGCAGAATCATCAGAAGATCCACAACCTGACAGCTGACCGCAGTTCACGGCGGGTGTTCCACAACTTGTCTGTCATTCCAAGCCTCCCGTTGGGGAATCGGAACAGCCTCATGCAAGTGGACACTTCGCTTATGGGAAAGTTAACAATTGTGTGTTGGCCTCATGTACATGGTCCATGAACCGTCCACATGCACAACATACCAGCAGAATCATCAGAAGATCCACAACCTTACAGCTGACCACAGTTCACGGTGGGTGGACAACATTGCGTTGTCAGAATTGTGTCATTTTTTTTTTTCAACATTTATCGCGGAGTAAAGGATACCGTCACACTACTCCACATACATCGTTAGTGGGATCTCCCTCCCAATGTCAGGGCGTACACGGCGATCCCAAATCCGCAAAATACTAGTATGCGGATTTGGGAAGGGCCGATTTGAGGTTTTGGGCATGGATCACGTCACACTGCTGTACCTTTTCAGATGGGACAAGGTTTTCTGCTGTACCTTTTCAGATGGGACAAGGTTTTGGGCATGGTTCACGTCACACTGCTGTACCTTTTCAGATGGGACAAGGTCGCGGCCGTCTGGAGAAATGGGGATTTGGTACTCGGCTGGTCACACGCGCCATCCACCAATTGTGCAAGAACTTTTGTGAACGATTTTTTGTCAAATTTTGAAGAAAATGCAAAAAAAAGAAAAGGCAATTTCGGGTCACCTCCAGAGGTGACCGCAAAATCCCTTGCCCCGCGGCTTCCTAGGCCGCTGACAAATAGGCACTGGAATAGTACATTTGTGAATTTGGTAGATCCGTGTGACCTGCGTTTTGCCCTTTTTTTTGGGATTTTGGGATTATGGGTCTCGCTCCACTACTGTCCACTGTACAAAAAAGGACGGTCGTACTTCCCTCCACTTACGGTCCACTGTACATGTGCAAAATGGCTTGGACAGTTTTTGGAAACCCCGTCGAAAATCTACTGTCCTCCACTTACTGTCCACTGTACATGTGCAAAATGGCTTGGACAGTTTTTGGAAACCCCATCGAAAATCTACTGTCCGTGAGTGTACAGCTCCCAGCCTGCAAAATTCGTTCAGTGGAAAGGACCCGAATTTGGAGAGTGCACCTAGAGTCCGGGCGGACAAAATCCTTTGGAGGCCCTGTCTTGTAGTTCTATCACTGCTTCCGTAGTGAACTCACGAATTTGAGAGGTGGACAGCGGACAGTAAGTGCAGCGATGCCGCGTTCTCCAGATTTTGAACTCAGTGACTGCTCAGTGACTGCTGTCCGTGAACTGTCCAGAAATTTGTACAGCGGACAGTAGTGGAGCGAGACCCTATAGGTCCCCTTGTGAGTATGCCCTCAGATTAGACAGAATCGATTCACAATTTCACACACACACACAGAACAAAAACAACAAAAAAAACACAGCACACACACACAACGCTGTTATTTACTCTGTGCCGGCCGCGCGTTCTGTTTCCTCCCCTCCATTGCCACGTGCCGCATTTGAACGCGCTCAAAAGTGATGTGAACGCGCCCGTTCGGTGCGCTCAGACAGGAGCATAGGCACAAACCTTGTCCACCTTGGTGAAAGGCGTGCTTGGCACCGTGGCCACAGCTCTGTTGGCCTGTTTTTATCGGACAAGAAATCTGGCTCTGTTTTGCTCCAGATTCATGAACTTGTTGGGCCACTATTTCCCACGGTACCACCCTCGGCCTCTTGTCAATGAGAATGACTCTGGCGCTGTTCATCCACCAGATCCATGATCCGGTAGGGCCCGTGGAGCCACCGGATAACAGAAGTGTCTAAAAGGCCAACACTCTCCCACACACCACACACAACCCACTCAAACTCACACTCGCGCACACCCATGTTGGCCAAGAAGCCTGCTAATACCGATCGGCGGTATCAAGCGGCGGACTATCACCGCTGGTTGGCACTAATAAGTGCGCGGCAGGCACCCAGGAGAAGTTAGCCGACCCTGCCATCCTTCTTTCTTTTTTTTTTTCCCTACCCCTGCCATCCTCTGGCATTGCCTAGTAACCGGGGGCAAGGTCTCACTTGCGCAAATTAGGAGATTTCGGCCGTTGATCTTTGCCATCTACCGTCAGTATTTCTTAATTCTTGCAAGTGGGACCTAGCACGGGGATGCTGCTCTAAATGAATGATCGGTCAGGACCATCGCAGCCCGCAAGACGTGCGACCAATGACGTCACCAGAAAATGGCCTCCTGTTTGGCTAATTCGTACTCGCACGAACCGTTGATAAATAGACCGAAGCTCGAATCCGGCCGAAATCATCAGTTGCAAGAGGCCACTTCGACCTACGTGCGGCAGGTGTGTGAGAGAGAGAGAACGTGCGGCAGGTGTGAGAGAGAGAGAGAGAGAGAGAGAGAGAGAGAGAGAGAACGTGAATTGCTCTCGGACCTCCGGAAGAACTACTAATCTTCTCTGTCTTGCCCTTAGTCGCTCCGCGTCTCGGCGGCTCTTTCCTCTTGCCTTTTCCCGCCTGCCTCCCTGCTCTGCCCCTCGTATCCTCTCCCTGCCTCTTTTCCAGCGTCCTGTGTCATCTCTTCGTTAGCTCGTCGCTTGGGATCCATACATGTTCCAGCATGTGTACAGTTGATTAGGCGCACGTGGCGGCTACTCAACCATCCTACCTCGGTCACTCGGTGGATTGACTTCCTGCCGGACCAGTGTGGAGTGTGGTTAGTTGGTTCTCCGATCGAGGCACCCACACGACCTCTGCTTGACGTGAGAACTCTATTAATCTTTCTTTGCCTCGATGCCGTTTTTCTTAATGTCTTTTCTGGCCAGATTTCTGTTCATTGATTTTGATTGTCGGGTCTGTTTCGATTGTTGCTGTGTTGCTGTGTGCTAAAACGGGAGTTGGTGTCCCTCCTGGACATCCGCGGAAATTCGAAAGATTAAGAGAGAAGGTTAGCATGGCCGCCTGCATAATTAACCCTGATCCGCAGAAATACAGCTGCTTGGGTTTGCGCAATTACTTCATGTACGCATGTATGTATGTATCGTCCCTTTTTTAGTTCTTTTACTTGTTCGTCGCCTTGGGAGGTCCTATGTAGTCACGATTGCGGGTGCGTCGAGATTGGGGGGAACGCGGTTGCAGTGTTGACGAGGCTCCACATGCTGGGGAAGAGCTCCACCTGCTCGCAGAGGGGGCCAGTGGGACCTCTATAACTTCTAAGAGTATAGGGACAAGGGGAGCCGCCGCAGCCACGCTGCGGCCGAGGAGAGGGTAGAAAAGGGGGCGGGGCTGTTGTTGTCACACTGCTTTGGCTTTTTTTTTTTTTTGTATCGTCATATTCGCTACACACTAAAAAAAGACATGACTGTGATAGACTGTTTCGGACTGATCAGGAGGTTGTGTGTGTGTGTGTGTGTGTGTGTGTGTGTGTGTGTGTGTGTGTGTGTGTGTGTGAGAGAGAGAGAGAGAGAGAGAGAGAGAGAGACTCTCTCTCCCTCTC